GTGATAAGGGCTGTGGTGTTGGTGGTGACGAGGGGGGTGATGTTGGTGGTGGTGAGGGTGGTGGTGGTGTGGCCTTGGATTCCATGAGACGATTCCATGAGGCGGCAAAATCGTGACGCGGCGGCGCGGAGCGCAGGCGTGTATGCGCCTGCGAGGCCGAACCAGCCAGGCGGGGCTCAGAAGGCGCCAGGCGGGCACAAGAAAATCGAGCGCAAGGGGGGTGGCTCACCGGGCTTGAGCAGCTGCAGGGGGATCAGGATGGCGGGCTCCAGCGCCTGGGGCGTGGGTGCGGGCACGGAGTGTCGCGCAGGGAGATCAGCGTGTAAGGCAACCCCCGACTTTGACCGGTCAAACATCGCACGCTGGGAGGGGCGGTCAGCAGGGCTGTCGACAACACGCCGAATCGGCAAGCTGACGGCCTGTGGCGAGGGAGTTCGTACTTTTTCAAAGCAGCCGCATGTGGTTCGGCAGCTGGCGGTTTGTGCAATCCACTGACGACTCAGACAGCCGCGCCCTGCCTCCCACCTGCGCGGCCTCATCCACCACAAGCGCATCAAAGAGCGGCATCCCCGCCGCCACCGCCGCGGCCGCCGCTGCCGCCTGCTGCCCGCCGCCGCCGCCCGCCCCGCCGCCACCGTTACCGCCGGCCCCAGCACCACCGCCGGCGGCCTCTGCAGCCTCCCTCAGGCCGCCCGCCGCGCTCAGCGTGCACACCACCACCTCTGCCGCCCTCAGCACGGCCAGTCGCAGCTCCCGCCGCTGCCGCTCCGGCGCGCGCCCCGCGGCCACGCCGCCGCCGCCAGCGGCGGCGGCGCCCGCGTTGGCGGCCAGCGTGGCAGCAGACAGGTCGCGCTCTGCCTGTGCGATCTCCAGCTTGAGCCGCTGCAGCTGCTCAGACAGGGCTGCCTCGTCCTCCTCTTCCTGCCCCTGCTGCTGCTGGTCTGCCTCTACCTGTGCCACCCGCGCAGGCCCTGGCGCCGCCAAAGCCCCCACGATGGCGCCGTCGCGGCCGCCGCCCGAGCCCGCGCGCTCCGACTGCGGCGGCGGCGGCGGCGACGGGGGCAGGGGCGGCGGCGGCGACGACGGGAGCGGCGGCGGCGGGCTGCTGCTTGTGCTCCTGGCTCTGCTCCTGCTGCGCTTCCTGCTGCGGCGCTTGTCACGAGACGCGCTCCTGCGCCTGCTGTGGCGCCTACCGCTGTCCGCCCTAGCCCTATCCCTGCTCCTGCTCCTCTTGTGCCTGTCCCTGCTGCCGCTCCTCTCATACCGTCTGTGTCTGCTGCTGCCTGGATCAATATGCCTATCCCTGCTCCTGTGCCTGTCACGCTTCTTGCTCCTCCTGCCGTTCCTGCTCCTGCTCCTGCTCCTGCTCCTGCTCCTGCTCCTGCTCCTGCTATCACCGTTGCGCCGGCGCTCGTCCATGCTGCCATGCCCTGACCGTTGCTGCCGCTGCCGCTGCTGATCTCGCTCCTGCTTTTGCTCCTGCTGCCGCCTGCACCACTCGCCCTCCTCGGACGCCTCACCGCTGGCAGGTGCCGCCGCTGCCTGGCCCCCCTCATCCGACCCCCCCGCCTCCTGCGGCAGCGGCGGCGGCTGCGGCGGTGACCCAGCCCGGGCCAGCGGCGGCGGCGACGCCTCCCGCTCCTGCGCCCGCCGCGGCGCTCTCATCGCCGCCGTCTTCTGCCGCGCCGCCACCCGCGCCAGCCGCCCCTCCACCTCTGCCAGCCGCGCCCGAAGCTCCTCCAACGCCTGGCGCCGCCGCTCCACCCGCTGCCGGTGCTGCGGCGGCGCGGCGGCTGCAGCTGTCCCCTCCGCCTGCTGCTGCTGCTGGTTGTTGTTGTCGCGGCGTATGTGGTAGTTGAACGCCTCGTCAGCGAGCGCGTCAACGTGGTAAGCGATGACGGACGCGTGAGTCGCGTCGGACCGGCCGGCGCGGACCTGGGTTGATGGGGAGGGCGAGCGTCCAAGGGAAAGTCGCGGGGCGAATTGGAAGTCTTGGGGTCATGGCTGAGGTGGTTAATGGCACGATGGCTGCATGCTGTCTCAGCAGCCCAGGTACGAACAGAATTGCAAGGGTGGCAGCAGGGACGGGCTGCGCCAGTGTTTGGCGTCCCCGGAGCCGCGCACCATGCCCGGCGCCTCCCGCGCCCCGCCCGGCCGCCACACGCCCTGCGCCGCCAGCCGAGCCACGATCTCGTCTATGGCCGCGTTGCTCTGGGCGCACACCAGCACGCGCGCCGGCGGCGGCGGGCCCGTCAGACGGATGCCGCGCACGGCCGGCACCGCGCCATCTGCGGCGGCGCCGCTGCGGCCCGCGGGGGCCGCGGCGGGCTTGGCGCGGGCGGCGAGGAGGGCGGAGACGATCCCGATGATGACGGACGTTTTGCCGGTCCCAGGGGGCCCTGAAATAGGTTGACAGCATCAAGGGAAGCAGTAGATGAAGGGAGTACGTGGGACTTGAGGGGATCCGGGCGGGTTGGGAGCTGCCAGCATGCGCTCGCGGCGGCGAAAGCGTTGCCGAAGACTCCATTTTTGAAACGCCGCAAATGTGGGATGTGCACATGCTGATTTCCCTGTCGGTTCGCCCCAGGGCGCCCTGCGCCAAGAAGCTGCTCAATGAAACGGGACCGAGGTTGGAGGGCTAACCTTGGACGAGGGAGAAGGGCCGGTGGGGCGCTGCATAGGGCTCAAGGCAAGCCGCCACCGCCGCCTGCTGGCTCAGGTTGTATGCCGCCGCCAGCGCAGCCGCCATCCGCTGCGGCAGCTGCGTCGCCGCCAGCCGCGGCAGCCCCGCGGCGCCGGCCCCTGGCTCCGGCTCCATCCCTGCCGCCGCCGCCGTCGCCCCCGCCTCGCCCAGCGCGGCCGGCAGCGCGAGGGATGAGAAGGGCGGCGGCTTGACCGGGCTAATGATCTGCGACAGCAGCTGCGGCGGCGCCGCCGGCAGCGCCGCCAGCGCCTGCGGCGGGAGCGGCGGTCAAGTCGGCTCGGCATGCAAAGGCATGGCGGCTGCCTTGTAAACAAGGGCCGGCAGCCGCTTACGTCCTTCTATTTGGGAAGCAAGCGCATCAAATCTGGAAGCAAGGCACCCAAGCGCACAGCCGGGAAGCAGTGGTGACCCAGCGATTAGATGCCTACACCCCTCGCGGGCTGGTGAGGGGTGGGGTGGGGGGTTGGGGGGGGGGGGGTGCGATAGGCGCTCACCCTGAACTCGCGCATGTTGGTGGTGAGCGATGTGATGGGCGTGACGAAAAGCCTGCACGGCGGG